CTGATTGTGGAAGTTACCAATTGTGGGAGTTACTCATCTCCCGCAATCGTAAGAGACCCATAACGTCTCTTGTCTGTTTCTGTTTCTCAAATACAGATACAGATCTGAAGAAGCACGACTGTTGAAATCGAAGATTCTTCCTTCTCCAGATCAATCCGGCGATACAAGCCGCTTTTCCAAATTCATCGTCGATCTGGAGCCGTCACAGGAACCGCCGCAGACCACGGCGTCCTCCGGCACCGGCAACGGTAAGATACGCTACCGTTCGCCATCTTCCACTGAGCTATTGGAATCAGGAACTGCCAACGTTTCCTCCGGTCACCATTCTCCTCCTACCTCCGACTCTCATCAGGGACTTCTCTCTGTTGACGACGGAGGTAAGATGACGGCTAAACGTGGGATTGGAAGGCACGAATCTATTACCGATAAGATCCAACGCCATCGAGGTATTATACTCGTGATTTCGGTTCCCGTTGTGCTGATCGGACTCGTTCTTCTGTTAATGCCTGGGAGATCGGCTTCTGACTCGGTCGTTGAAGAGTACACGGTCAATAATCGAAAAGGAGGCCCGAATTCAAGGGCTCCGAAGAATTACGCCGTGATTTTTGATGCTGGAAGTTCTGGAAGCCGTGTACATGTTTACTGTTTTGATCAGAATTTGGATCTTCTTCCTCTCGGTAATGAACTCGAGCTCTTCCTACAGGTAACACATTATTGGTTTATCTCTTCTTTTCTTTTAATCGATCATAATAATTTGATGCTTGATAAAGTAGAGTTGTGTACTGGATATGGTAGCAGAATTACCATTTTAGCTGCAGTGCTTAATAGATCTTGTGTCGTTCCCTAGACTTGATTCAATTTCATAAGTTGATATAGTTGTTTGTGTGTGGGAAGACTTGGGCAGTGTCGCCAGAGCTTATTCGTATGTGTCGGCTAGAGCTTTATTGGCCTTGTTTGTGATACACACAAACTATATCTGTCTGATCTAAAAACCTTCAAAACTTGAATCATGTGAAATTGTTGTGTTCTGCAATTTTGAAATCGTTTTACATAAATGGAGTTATAGTACGGTTTTCTGTTTGGACGATGAATAAGAATGTTCTATTCTGCAAGTTTCTATCTTTGATTCTGCTATAGATTTGACATTCACAATAACTCGCCCTGAGGCAACAGGATATATGGGAAGCATATATCTTTGCTCTCACTGTCCATAACTGATCCAGCATGAAGCTTGAACTGAATAAACTCGCATAGTTAGTTCCTTGATTCATTAGATTAAGTGGCTTGAATTCTTGTCTATTTTGCACTTGAGTGGTGCCGTTCTGGAACTTTGGCCCTAAACTATTTACTGATTTGATTTCAGCTAAAACCAGGGTTGAGTGCATATCCTACTGATCCCCGGCAAGCAGCAAACTCTTTGGTGTCTCTTCTTGACAAAGCAGAAGCTTCTGTTCCCCGCCAGTTGCGTCCGAAGACACCTGTCAGAGTTGGGGTATGGAAATGAATGCCAGATGTAGACAGTTGAAACTATTTCATATTGTGGTTGTTTATTTCGTGAATCATCTAAAATGTTTATCTCTGTATCCTGTCAGGCAACTGCAGGTTTGAGGACTTTGGGTCATGAAGCATCTGAGAACATTTTGCAAGCTGTAAATTTATTTCCATATATTTTCACGCACATTCGCCTGTGCACTAGCTCTTATACTTTCTATCATAATTTTTTTACAAGGTTAGGGAACTCTTGAGAGATAGAAGCATGCTGAAAACTGAGGCAAATGCAGTTACCGTTCTGGATGGTACTCAGGAAGGTTCTTATCAGTGGGTATGTTGCAGTTCTTCCCATTTATTAGTGTCGTACAGTCAAAATTAAGATATTGTTCTCTTTTCACTCTTTCAAAGTAAATATTAAATCTTGCCGTACTTCTTATGGTATTCCTTAAATCTTTTCGTCCATTCCAAGGAGTAATTACATAACTGGTATCTTTCTACCTTCTTTAACTTCAATAAGAAGTATCACATTTTTGGTTTGACAAGTGTGCTAGTTTAAAGTTTGTGATGTCGAATGGTCTCAAAGATCAACCTGTAGGACCCTAACCAACCTTAGTCAAGCTGTGAATTTCTGTTAATTGGACTTCGACTTTGCAGGTGACAATTAATTACTTGCTAAGGAACTTGGGAAAACCATACTCAGATACGGTTGGAGTGGTTGACCTTGGAGGGGGTTCTGTTCAAATGGCATATGCTATATCAGAGGAAGATGCTGCAAGTGCACCAAAACCATTAGATGGAGAGGATTCATATGTCAGAGAAATGTATCTGAAGGGAAGGAAGTATTTCCTCTATGTTCACAGGTTGGTCACCTCTTATGGTTTCCTTGATGTCATGTTTGTTCAATTAAATCTTACAATGACACCAAAAGAGTGTGGATGACTTTAGGCTTTTCTACTTTGTTTTCTGGATTACCGTACTCATTAGATATTTCCTTTCATGCTAGTCACACAACTATTTGTATCCAAAATCTGTAATGTGAGATGTTATTGGCTTCTTGCTTGTAGTTACCTACATTACGGATTACTGGCCGCCCGAGCAGAGGTTTTGAAAGTTTCGGAAGTTTCAAACAACCCCTGCATGGTGTCAGGCTATGATGGTGAGAGATTGTTGTTTTATCCATGAAAGCTGTTTCTTTGCAACTAGAGTTCTCTTCATTTTTACCCTCATCATATGACACATGTTTTCATTATTTCTATTATCTTCACCATACTTTGCTAGAAATTCTCTGAATATGCAACAGCTTTAGCATACTGGATTCACAGTTTTCAATTTCTTCCTAACATATTTTATTCACCGTAGGTACTTACAAGTATGGAGGAGAAGCATTCAAAGCTGTTGCTGGGTCATCTGGTGCGAGTCTTGATGAGTGCCGAAGAATAACCCTCAACGCACTCAAAGTGAATGACACACTATGTACACACATGAAATGCACATTTGGTGGAGTTTGGAATGGTGGTCGAGGTGGTGGGCAAAAGAATATGTTTGTTGCTTCATTTTTCTTCGATCGTGCTGCTGAGGTAACTCAACCAAAAGAAACTTTATGTTATCTTCAAAAACCGTTCATCAATCATTCACGGACAAAACCCGCCTCTTTGTTAAAATCAGTACAACCACTACGCTCTTAAGTTTAAAACATTTGGTAATGGCACAGGCTGGATTCGTTGATCCGACGCAACCGGTTGCTAGAGTTCGTCCGATGGACTTTGAGAAAGCAGCAAAGAAAGCTTGCAGTATGAAGATGGAAGAGGGAAAATCGAAGTTCCCACGTGTGGAGGAAGAGAATTTGCCTTACTTGTGCATGGATCTCGTTTACCAATTTACTCTGCTCATTGATGGATTCGGTTAGTATCTCTCCTTTCTTTTCTTTGTTTTTCACGTTAAACTCATAAAAACAACAATTCTCTTTCAACGGTATCGACTATAGATAGTCCACAATTTATTTGTATTTAATGTCATTTGCCTAATTTTATAAAGTTTTCTCTTGGGGTATAATATAAAACAGGATTGGAAGCATCACAGACAATAACGTTAGTGAAGAAGGTGAAATATGGAGAACACGCCGTGGAAGCTGCGTGGCCACTGGGTAGCGCAATAGAGGCCGTATCCTCACCGTGAGGGCCATTTTGGGAATTACACAAATCCTTCATTCTTTTTTATTTCTCCCAAAGCTTTTTTATATCTACCATCCACTTTGCGATTCAGATTTTTGATTATTATTATTGTTTTTGATGTTGGACGATATCATTATTAGTTTAACGACAAATCGGTCAAAACAACTGCAGAGTAAAATGAGGAATTCAGAGTATAAAAAAAGAACGACGGAAAAGAAGATATGATAGCCGAAAATGTATACACTTTAGTTCTAAACCCACTCTTTCTCTTTGTCTCCAAAGTTTCTTTATTTCACTCTGAAACGAAGTTTCCTTTCTCCTAGTCTTTGTTGTATAAGATGTTCCGATTAAATGCGTGAAAATTAAAAAAGAATTTTTTTTTTCCATCTCGTGAATTTATTATAAACCACGAAATTGATATACAAAGTAATGACACAACATCTCTCCATAGGAGAACCCCAATCCTACAACAGGGGAGTTATCATCGCATCGAATACAAAAGACTAGTACCAAAAGAGAAAGGAAACCGAAAGAAACAGAACATAACCTAGCAACTAAAACCAAACTGCTGAATCGCAGCATTCCAATGAATTCCCCATAAACAAGTAGATGCAGAAACTGAGCCAAACAACATGAGCCAAAACGAGACATAAAAAGCATCTAAAACAATCCGAACGACCTGAAAATCTTGTAGACGGAAGAAGAATCGCACTCAACCAGCAACACTATGTGCAGGGGTGACGACGCACGAACAATACGGTCCAGACCATATAGGAAGTAACTCTGACCCAACCAACTCCGGAGGCAGGATAACTAGAGTGAATCTAGGCTCAAAGCAAGCAACGACCGATGAAAGAGAAAACGTCAAATAGGATCTACAACTCTTAACACAGACCCTCGCGAACTAACCTTAGCCATCTACACACTAAAAGAAGGTCACCTTCACGCAAAGAAAAGAGCTGTAGAACAAGCTCACTACTCGTCTTGATAACCTCTCCAAAATCTGAAGGCCAAAAAGAAGGCCAAGTAGATGCCTCCACAACAAACTTCTAACCGAATGGCGAACCCAAACAAACAACCTAAAGCAACTTTAACCACCTAAATCGAAGAGGAGAGAACCCAGAGTAGAAGCACTAGGCTTAGAATCTATTTCTAATCGGAAAGACCCAATCTCTAAACAATAAAACCACCACGGAGACAAAGAGGAAGAACAACCATAACCTGCACATATACCAAAGCCCGATCCAAATCAAAAGCCAACCACGAATCAGCCATGGGAAGAACCCCAAATCCATATCAAAGCTTTGGTATCGCTCTCCAACCATAACCTCCGACGAAGTCAGCGCTTCCACATCCACCTCCCGAAACCGAAATCGACAAGACCTACGATTTATGACCACCGTCACGGCCAAAATAACCCAAACACCAAAAGCTTTGACCTGCGATTTATGACAATCGACACGGCCGAGGAACCCAACCATCAAAGAAACTTAAGAAAAATCACCAGAGAAACACATCCCGACTGACGGCGGAGCTAACAAAGCCTCCGGCCACCTGCCGAGTAGTGATCGCACTTTTTTCTCCTTCACATGCGGCTAGGGTTTTTTTTTCCTACATGATAGTTAATTAAAAAACTCACCAAG